TGAGTTGGTCAACCTGTGTATGCCTCTCCCTGGAGCTTCTCCCATGAGAGAGACACTAAGGCTGAAACCATAGACCTTGTATAGACTAATCGTGGAACTCTCACGGTGTGAATCACTCATGCTGTTGATCTTGGTCCAGACTGGCAAAAGGCACCAGATGACAATGGCAGAGTATGACTGTCAGGAGATGAGGATGCCTGGGATGTTTTGGAGGGTACCACTGTGCCATAGAACCTATGGGCTCTCTGGCCCAGATCTGCTCACCAGGCTGGGTGTTGATGCCAGCCGTTGGCTGGGAGCTCAGCCGAGGCGGTCAGCAGGAGAGTCTTGGTTCTCACCCATATGGGAAGAGGCGGACTCAAGGCAGGTGTTGCACAAGGAGGACAGCAGGAGTCTCTTGTCTCCTCGGGGTCTGACATCAGAAGCCAGGATCCAGGAATTTCTTCCGGGTCTCCCACGTAGACGCAGGGTCCCAAGGCTCTGGGCCATCCTCGACTGCTTTCCCAGGCCACAAGCTGGGAGCTGGATGGGAAGTGGAGCTTCTGGGATAGAACCGGCACCCATATGGGATCCCAGCTCGTTCAAGGCGAGGACTTTAGCTGCTAAGCCATGCCGCCAGGCCCCTAAATATTTATTTATTTTACGTGAAAGAGTTACAGAGAGAGAAGGCATGAGAAAGAGAGAGAGAATCTTGCACTGATTCATTCCCCAAATGGCTGCAGTGGCTGGAGCTGAGCCAGCCTAAAGCCAGGAGCTTTGGAACCAGAGGCCAGCAGCTTTTTATGGGTCTCCCATGTGGGTGCAGGAGCCTAAAACACTTGTGCCTTTCTCCACTGCTTTCCCAGGCACATGAGCAGAGACAGACTGGAAGCAGAGCAGCCAGGACTCGAACCAACACCCATTTGGGATATCAGTGCTATAGGTGGAGGCTTGGCCTGATAAGCTATGACACTGCCTTAGATTGCACTCTTGCTAAAACAGTGTCACAGTCCAGCCCAGATACAAGGCAGAATCCTACATACATATACAAGGGAATGGTGAGAGAGAGCAGGAATTGATATAAAATTCCAAGCTAGAGGGGGTATTCCAGCATTCTGAAATTCATGAGTCCATAACCCTAGCTTTACTTTTTAAATTTTAAATGTAAAACAAAAAATCGTACAAGAGACTGGCATGTGCTTATTGTGGAAAAATGAGAAAAATCCCACCAACTGTCATGCCCCTTTCATAGATAATCATCATATAATTGTAGTACTCCAGAATCAAGATATGGAAAAGTAATCATCCTTCTCTAAAGCAGAGTAACTCTGCCCACATCATACAGTGTGAGCTGGGTAGAGTGGGGCGGTCACATATGTACCAGCTGGGGAAGGCCTTCTGTATCTTATTTAAATATCCTATCTAACTGGTGAGAAAGGCATCGTTTTCATTTGGCGGGTGGGGAGGCTGAGCTGTCCAAAGCCTCAGCCTCTCCACCATTAAATCTCAAACCAATGCCCTGAGCCACTTCCTCCCTAGGTGAATAGGGAGACGCTGAGAACGCGTCCTCTGGGAGCTCAGCTGCTGTAATGGGGAACGTTCTTGCCACGCGGAGGAGCCAGCTGTGGACGTTTCAATCAACAGCCTTCTCTGAGCAGACAGCTGACAGCCAGTTATCAGTCACTCACACCATGAATGGGTTGGGTTGGAGTTCTCAGCCCCTCTAAATCCCCCCAGAGGACCACAGCCCCCTCTGACATGGAGCAGACCTCACACTCTCAGTGAAGCCACGTCAATCCAGAGCAGGGAGAGTTTACAAGACAGCGGCTCTTTGAAGAGTCCTGAGTCTTGCCAGATTTGTTGATCCAGCAACGGGCCACCGAAATGGAAGGGAGCTGCCTGTGTTGACGACCAGCGCCAGCCGGGCCTGCAGAGGGGGTTTCCTCCTTGAGGCAGTGACCCAAGTCAGGGACCTCCAGGGATCAGTGCAGGAGGGTGGGTCACATAGGAATTTTCCTCGTAACCTTCCCTAGCTGGGAAAAAAACCTTCGTGAGTCACAAGACTGGGAGGACAAACTGGGTATGAGCTAACAGAAATCTGGGCAGGATTCCGAAAGTAAACAATGTTGATTTCTCAGCACAAGGGAAGCCTTGCCCAATGCGGTTCAAACTCACCTCAATACTCACTGCTTTCCACATGAATTGCTCGGACTGAGATTTTTTTCCAATTTCAAAAAAAAAGTACATCATTCTAAAGCAAATAATAGGCATTTCGCTTCCTGCCAATGCAGACCCCTGGGAGGCGTTGGATTCAGAGGCAACTGAGAGAGAGAGACTCTTAGTTCAGATAAAGCATTTTGTTAGTTTGGAGAGATTCTGATGGAGCGCTTCCTGGCAGGGAAGTCTGGGGCCACTTCCACATGGTGGCATGACTGGGTGAGGAAAATGACTGCGCGGGGGACACAGCATGGCATTTCATACGTCGTAGGCAGGGGGGATGGGAGAAGACAGCAGCCCCTCAGTTTGTGCGTGCATGTGATGTGTAGCACGGAGTCCTGCTCATGGCAAGTGTTGACCTTTTGCAGAGACAAGGTCAGGGTGATTCAGCATTCTAGACATTCCTGGATGGGGGTGTTGGCTTGACTTCAGCAGGGTGCTTTAGTCACTTCTGCTCTGTCCACCTAAGAGGGTGGGTAACAGTGATAACTCAAGTCAGTGGGGCCCCCGCTGCCCATACGGGAGCCCTGGGGTCGAGTCCCCTGCTCCTGGCTTTGCGCCATCCCCTCCCCGCTGTGGGAATTTGGAAGCAAGCTGGTGGATGAGAACTTGGTCTCTCTGCCTCTCCAACAAATAAAAGCAGTAAGTAGCCCCACTTGGACACGGCCTAAACACGGCACGGTTCCTGAGGGGCACAAGCAGACCCTTGTTCCTGTACAATCCCTGGACAGTAATAAGATGACCTTGAGGGAATTGCATGTGGCATGTGTGTCCCGTAGTAAAATCAGTCCTATTTCTCACAGAGCAAATGCGGAATCTCACAGAACTAGGGGAGGGGGCGGCACTGTGACTTCCTTGAGACCTCTGTTAGTGTCAGAGCTCAAATGTCTCTTGTATGTCTCTTCAGTAGCTCGCAGTCTCAGGACATCAGAAAAGCTGGGAAGAATGCAATACCTACAGATTTCAGAGTTTCATCCAAGAAGATTCCTGAGTGTACCAAGTGATCCTTCTGCACCTTCCGCCTCCCCTCAAAGCACCAAGAGACATGTGAGGAATATTTTTTTAAGATTTATTTATTTATTGGAAAGTCAGATATACAGAGAGGAGAGACAGAGAGGAAGATCTTCTGTCCACTGATTCACTCCTCCAAGTGACCGCAATGGCCAGTGCTGCGCTGATCCGAAGCCAGGATCCAGGAACCTCTTCCGGGTCTCCCACATGGGTGCAGGGTCCCAAAGCCTTGGGCCATCCTCCACTGCTTTCCCAGGTCACAAGCAGGGAGCTGCTGGTGGGATGGGAAGTGGAGCTGCTGGGATTAGAATTGGCACCCATATGGAATCCCGGTGCATTCAAGGTGAGGACTTTAGCCGCTAGCCCACGCCGCCAGGCCCGAGGAATATTTTTCAAGCCAGGCTTTCAGGGACCAACTAAGTCTCAGACCAAATAGGGTCTTCAGATTCTACTCAGGGGAAATCTAACAAAATCATCAGGAGCAAGCTAATTTTTCTTGACATTTATTTAAAGGGCAGAATTACAGAGAAGGGAGAAGTAAAGTCGGAGAGAGAGAGAGAAATTCTGGGTCTGCTGCTTCACTCCCTCTAACGGCCATCATGGTCAGACCAAAGCCACGAGACGGGCGCTTCAACAGAGGGTCGCCCACGTGGCTGCAGAGGCCCAAACACTTGGGCCACCTTCTGCTGCTTCCCCAAGTATATTAGCAGGGAGCTGGATTCGAAGTGGAGCAACCAGGACCTAAATTGGCCCCAGTAAGGATGCCAGCACTGCATGGGGTTGGCTTACCACTCTGCTGCAGCCTCACCCCATGCCACCAAGTAGGTTTTACACAGTGCTCCTGCACCTGCACCTGCACAGCTGCACTTCCGCCCAGCAGGCTCTTTTCTTTTAAGATTTATTTATTTTTGTTGGAAAGGCAGATTTCCAGAGAGAAGGACATACAGAGAGAAAGAACTTTTGTCCGATGATTCACTCCCCAAGTGGCCACAATAGCTGGAACTGACCCGATCCAAAGCGGGGAGCCTGGAGTCTCTTCTGGGTTTCTCATGTGGGTGCAGGTCCCATGGCTTTGGGCTGTCTTCGACTGTGTTCCCAGGCTGCAAGAAGGGAGCTGGATGGGAAGCGGGGCTGCTGGGATTAGAACCAACGCCCATATGGGATCCTGGCTAGGCTACTGCATTGGGTCCAGTTTCTTCTTTTTAATTAAAACAATCATTTCATGTACCTGAAAGGCAGAGCAACAGAGAGAGAGAGATCTTCTGACAGTTGATTCACTCCTCAAACACCTGCAATAGCCAGCGCTGAGTCAGGCCAAGGCCAAGAGCCAGTAACTCATCTTGGTCTCCTATGTGAGTGGCAGCAGACACTTGAGCCATCATCCTTGGGAGTCTGTTTCTCTACTTTAGTGTAGTGGATTTCCAAGAAATGTAAAATTAGAAGAGAAGTTGATGAATAAATGCCCTCCCTCTTTTGTTCTTGTTTAAAAAAAAAAAATGTTGGCCCATTGTGATGGCTCAATTGGCTAATCCTCTGTGGTAAGCACCGACCAGCATCCCACACTGGTTCATGTTCTGACTGCTCCACTTCTCATCTAGCTCCCTGCTTATGGCCTGGGAGAGCAGTTGAGGATGGCTCAAGGCCTTCGGACCCTGCACATGCGTGGGAGACTCAAAAGAAACTCCTGGCTCCTGGCTTTGTATTGGTTCAAACTATGGCCGTATGGTCATTTGGGGAGTGAACCATCAGATGGAAGATCTTTCTCTCTGTCTCTCCTTATCTCTGTAAATCTGCCTTTCTGCGAAAAGTAAATAAATCAAAAACAAAACCAAAGCAAAACAAAAACCCCACATTGCCGAAGATGAGAAAAATTGGAATCCCTTATCTTGCTAGTGGGGCTGTGAAACAGGGAAGGCACTGGGGAACAGTGTGGCAACTTTTGCTAGCATAAATACAGTATTATCATCTGACCCAGCAACTCCGCTGCTTGGTATGTATTTAAGGGACTCGACAGCAAAAGTTCAAACAAGAACTTGTACACAAAACTTGTTCACGGCAGCACCATTCACGATAGCAAAAGATGGAAATGAGTGTAGGCCCCAGTCTCCCAAGGATTAACTCCACAGCACAGCTTGTTTCTCAAGGGTGTAACAGGAAAGGCAATCATGGCCCAAGTGGCTTGCAATCCTTCCTGCTTCCTTGTTGCATGTCCTTGGGGGAGCTTAGGTGTGGCTTAACCATTGGGAGGATCCTGGGCCAAGCAGACTATAAAAGATGCAGCTTGACTTCAAATAAACGGCATTCTCCTCACAAGAATGACCCACTGTGTCTGTGTGTTGTCTGTCTTGTCTGTCTCATCCCTAGTCCGCTCGACTTGGAGGTACGTGGCGACGCGGGCGTGCCAACAAACGAGTCCAACACCCACTGATGAATTCACAAGTCAAATGTATTCTATTCCAGTAGTAGAGTATTACTTAGCCATGTGCTTCAACATGAACAAACCTGGAAATCATTGCAGTAAGTGAGAGAAATTAGATGCAAAGGCCACACAGTTTAGCAGTCTCTTTGTATGAAATGCACAGAGGTCAACCCAAAGCCACCGAGAGCCAATGACTGATTGCTGGGCCTCGTGCAGAGAGTCAGGCATGAAGTTAAGGATGTGGGGTTTCTTTTTGGAATGGTGACGTGCTCCAGAACTGGTGATACTGGTTGTACATGTTGTGTGTGTAGTCAGTTTCAGTAAATGGCCAATTTGAAACTGCTGAGATTTTATTTAAGAGGCAGACAGCCAGGAGAGTGTTCACATTTGCTGGTTCCTTCCCAGATGCTCCCGGTGGCCTGCCGAGCTGGGCCAAGGCTAAAGCTAGGCCTTGGGAATGCAATCCAGCTCTCCCGTGGAGGTGGTTGGAACGATCAAGGCCTAGACTGGAACGAATGCGCTTTTGCCAGGTTCTTGCCTGCTAGAGAAGCAGCCTAGGAATAGGTCCAACTACAGACAAGGTGACAACGTTTATTTAAAATATGAGGAAGTCACATACACACCTGTGCCCTGTTCAGGGGTAGAGTGGGCCAGGAATGGTGGGGAAGGGATGTTTTCTATGTTAGCTCATGTGTGTCCCCCAGAAGAGACAGAGAAAAATGCCTCCCCGATTGCCAGGCTTCTTAGGAGCCTAGGAAGGGGAGTGATTACTGAATACTGCCCCCAGGTCCCAGGTGAGGGGAAGTGCAGCCTGGGGCCAAGGGGTCAAGTCAAGTGCTACTGGTTGGTTGTGTGACCTTAGACCTCTAGGTTTATCTTCCCATCTGTAGAACAGGAAGCCAGTCTTCCAAGTCCCTTTCTCCTTCTCTTTTTTCCTTCATCTTTCTTCTCGCTTTCTCCTTCAGCATATTTTTCCATTTTCTGAAACTTAGCTTCATCTATTCGTTTCCCCCAGACAAGATCTAAATCTTTTTACTATGCAACTTCCTTACAGTGGCTCCAGGAGCACCGGTGTTTTTCTCAGTAGCAGACACCAGGAGAGATTCATTCCATGTCAGCCAGGGTATTCTGTGCACTGCAGGTGGAGCAGGGCAGCTTCCAAAGGGACTGGAACTAGTGGGTGTAGATAAGTGGGCCCCGGAGTTACAAGCTGTCCAGCTTGCAAACCACACAGGCTTCCTGTGGGCCACGCAGTACACCGGCCTCACCAAGCACTTTAACCATCATTTTTGGGCAAGGGCTCCAATGGTAGGATTATAGAATGATGTGGAGGGATGTTAATATAAGTGTGCAATCCTGGCCTGATTGAACCCTCAGAGAGCTGTGATTCTGCAGTTGCCCACCTAACTTTTCTTTCTGTGTATAATTTGCAGCAAGGTAATAATGGTGGTTAAAAGTGTGCACTCATTTCCATCTTATTCTTTTTTTAAAAAAAATTATTTAATTAGAAAGACAGATTTACTTAGAGAAGGAGGGACAGAGAGAAAGAGCTTCCATCTGCTGGTTCACTCCCCAAGTGGTCACAATGGCTGGAGCTGAGCTGATCTGAAGCCAGGAGCCAGGAGCTTTTTCCAGGTCTCCCATGTTGATGTTGGGTCCCAAGGCTTTGGACCATTCTATGCTGCTTTCCAAGGTCACAGGCAGGGAGCTGGATGGGAAGTGGAGCTGCCAAGATACAAACCAGTGCCTATATGGGGTCCAGGCATTTTCAAGGTAACATTTAGCCACTGAACCATCATGCCAGACCCAAATGAATAACTTTATTCAAAAAAGAAAGGATTTGGTTCATAAATGAAGACAGGGGAATGGAGTTAAATGCACACAATGTCTACTTGCTGTGCTGTGGCCAAAAGTTTGACCTTGAACTAGATCAAGCTTCCAATGCCAAACACCAGTTTACAGGAATTAGAAGGAGAGAGAGGGTTAAACTAGCCTGGCAGACATAGTAAAATCTAGACTGTGAGAAACCCCACACAGCAAATAACTGCATTCATCAATATCAAAATAAAGAAAGAACACAGATTAAAGGCAAGAGACAGAGAGGGAAAAACAGAGGGGTCTTCCATATGCTGCTTCACTTTAAAAAGACAAATTATTACAAAGTCAGATATACAGAGAGGAGGAGAGACAGAGAAGAAGATCTGTCCAATGAATCACTCCCCAAGTGACCACAAAGGCTGGTGCTATGCTGATCCGAAGGTGGGAACCAGGAACCTCTTCCGGGTCTCCCACGCAGGTGCAGGGTCCCAAAGCTTTGGGCCGTCCCTGACTGCTTCCCCAGGTCACAAGCAGGGAGCTGCATGGGAAGTGGGGCTGCCAGGTAGAACCGGTGCTGATATGGGATCCCGGCACATTCAGGACGAGGACTTATGCCGCTAGGCCACAGCGCCGGGCCCATCTGCTTCACTTTTCAAACGGCTACACAGTTCTGGGCTGCATCAGGCAAAATCTAGGAACCAAGAAATCCATTCTGATCTCCCTGTGGTTGGCAGGGGCCAGCATACTTGCTCCCTCCTCTGCTGGGAGTTGGATCAAAAGTGAGAAGCTGGAGGTTAAATTGGCACTCCCAGGTGTGACGTGGGTGGTTCAGGTAACATGGGGACCCATTTCATCCTCATGACCTACCCCCCATGTTTGGGATGTTGCTCCCCAGTGGCTGGGGACTTTGCAGGACTGTCTCACACAATGAAGAATGACTTGATTGCTGACTTCAGTGCTGAGTTCCAATGACAACATTTCAGAGATGCACACTGAAGTATCTATGGGTGAAATGACTCAGAACAGTGTGGGGTAGGGAAGCAAGTGGCGATCTGGGCTGTCAGTGGGTTGGGTAAGGAGCTGGGCTCAGATACACTCTATTTCTATTCAGATTCATTGGAAATTTGAACAAAGCAATTTTAAAAATATTTATTCTGGGCCCAGCACCACTGCCTAGCAGCTAAAGTCCTCCCCTTGAATGCACCGGGATCCCATATGGGTGCCGGTTCTAATCCCAGGAGCCCCATTTCCCATTCAGCTCCCTGCTTGTGGTCTGGCAAAGCAGTCAAGGACGACCCAAAGCCTTGGGACCCTGCACCTTTGTGGGAGACCCTGAAAGAGGATCTGGGTTTCTGGCTTCAGAATGGCGCAGCACCGGCCGTTGCACTCACTTGGGGAGTGAATCATCTGATGGAAGATATTTCTCTCTGTCTCTCCTCCTCTCTGTATATATATCTGACTTTGCAGTAAAAATAAATAAATCTTTAAAAATTTATTTCTACTGGAAAAGCAGATTTGCAGAGGAGAGACAGAAAGATCTTCCTCTGCTGGTTCACTCCTCAAATGACTGCAGTGGCTGGAGCTGAGTCAATCAGCAGCCAGGGGCCAGGCGCTTCTTCCAGGTCTGGCATGTGGGTATTGGCTCCCACGGCTTTGGGCCATCCTTCACTGCTTTCCCAAATCATAAGCAGGGAGTTGAATGGCAAGTGGAGAGACCGAGTTAGGATGTGGCATCCATATGGGATGCTGGTTCTTGCAAGTTGAAGATTTGCCAGTTGGGCCCGGTGCGATGGCACAGTGGTTAAGGTCCTCTCCTTGCATGCCCACGATTCCATATGGGCGCCGGTTCTAATCTCAGCAGCCTCACTTCCCATTCAGCTCCCTGCCTGTGGCCTGGGAAGGCAGTCAAGGATGGTCCAAAGCTTTGGGACCCTGCACCCACGTGGGAGACCGGGAAGAGGCTCCTGGCTTCGGATCGGCTCAGCTCCAGCTATTGAGGCTGCCGGCGGAGTGAATCATCGGACGGAAGATCTTCCTCTCTGTCTCTCCTCTCTGTATATCCGCCTTTCCAATAAAAATAAAATAAATCTTTAAAAAAAAAAAAAAAAGAAGAAGATTTGCCAATTGAGCTGTTATACTGGCCCCAGAATGAAATTTTTGTTTTGTGTGCATCTATTTTATTTTTCATGTTATTTATAAAGTTGAGAGGGATGCATGCCCATGTAGCCTTTGATTAGACTAGGGAGGGTCAGCAATAGATGCAGGTGGGCGGGACTCACTTTCAGATTTGCCCCACCCCTCCTTTGTCCTCAGGGGAGAAGGGGAAAGGTGTCACTCCTTGCTGCCTAGCAGGATCAGCACCCAGGGGTGGGGGTGGTCTTTTGATGATGCCAGTGTGGGGCAGTGTTCATGAGTGGTTTTGATAGTTTTGAGAAGTGGTTGGTTTCATTGCTCCAGGGTTGACAACATCTTTCCAAGGGCAGCTGGTTCACAAGGCCCACCTTAGTGCATCCCCAGGCCCAGCAGAATCCAACCTGTTTTATTTTCCATCCTCTGATGAAGCAAATGACACCCCCTGCTGGCCTAAATGAGCTTGCCATCTTTCCCATCCTGCATATCTGGAAATGCTGTCCACTGCAGAGGCATCTGCAACTGAGCAGGCCCAGTTCTGATGCACAGACTCCAAGGTTGGACCATCCATCCTGTGATTTTCTCCTGTAAGCAGGGTCTGAGTCCAGTAGTCCGGGCGGGGAGTCTCCCAGGAAGCCTTGCCTGGGTATGACCTCAGGTTGGGCTCTTATGTGTGCCAGCCAGCCAGTGCAGGGTCAGGTGTGATCCGTCACATGCACCAGCCAATGATGTACCGGTGGGATGCAGCTGCTTGGTCAGTTCTGCCTCAGCCCCCAAACCAACAGGTTCTGCGGCTTATCCCAGCTAGCCCTCCATAGACCTGATCCCCAGGGAGTGCGTGACCTAGTTAGAGTGACCCTTAATATCCCTCATCAGGCCCTGCCTAACCCTGGTTTTTGCACATGCCAGCCTCTGCTGCAGCCTCCCTTGGGCCCATCCCACATTCCATCCAGCTCCTGAGCACACCCACGGGTTGTGGTGCTTAGCTCAGCTTGACCCACCCCCAGATTTAGCCTTCATGTACGCTGCCTCCTGGCTCTCCTTGGCTTACCCACAGCTGTAGTTCTTGTGCTCACCAGTAGTAGTAGGTACAGGCTAGCAGGAGTGTGCCCACAGTTTCCCCTGTCAGGCATGTTCCCAACCCTGCATGTTATACCTGCCAGGTGGCGATGTGATCCAAGGTGACATGACTCATATCCAGTACCAGCACTTGCCACCTGGTGCTGTGGCCTAGCTCAACTGCCCTGCACCTATTCTAGCTCTCAGGCGTGTCAGTGGGTTCAGCAGCCTAACCCAGCCTGACCCACCCTCAGATCAGCCCGTCCTCTGTCCAGCTCTCATGCTCACCAGTGGGAACAGGAGCCCAGCAATGGAGTCCCCAGAGTTTCCCTACCAGGCTAGCTCCCAACCCTGGGTCTGGCATGTACTAGCAGGTGCTGTGGCTGAATCTGAAATGGCCCTACCCCAGTTTCCACATTCACCAGCAGGTGCTCGAGCCTGGTTCAACCCAGCCCAACCCCAGTCCCAGCTCTTATCAGTACTTGCAGAAGCCTACCCAAGCCTAGCCCACTTCAGCCCTCATGTGAACTGGTGGGTGTTGTAGTCCAACCTGGCCTGGCCTGCCATCTGTCCTGGCTCTCACTCATGCCAGTACCCATTCTAGCTGTCACCAATGGGAGCTACAGCCTAGCCCAGCCTTGCCCACACCCATTCTGACTCTTGCAAGTATCAATAGATGCTGGAACACAGCCTAGTTTGGTCTGCCTTCAGAACTAGCCCATATGTATGCCAGTGGGTGCTGCAGTCCAGCCTGGTTTGTCTAGCCCCTCAGTGAGAGCTGCTGCCCAGCAGAGGAGTCCTCAGAGTTCCCCTACTACACCTGTTCCCAGTCCTAGTTCTTGTGAATGCTGGAAGGTGCTTCAACCCAGCCTGACATGGCCCATCTGCAGTCTCAGCTCTCGCTGGCAAGTGTTACAGCGTGGCTATTAAGGCATGGTCCACACCCTGTCTTGGTTCTTGTGCAATGGGTGCTAAACCTGACTCAGCCAGCTAGTCTTCAGATCTGGCCTACACAAACACGGTTGAATATTGCAGCTTTGCCTCCCTGGCCTGCCCCTTAGGGAAGTTCCCCAAGTTTCCCTTCCAGGCCTGCTCCCAGCCCAGGATCTCATATGTGCCACTGGGAGCAGCAGCCCTACTTGGCACAGTCTGCTCTCAGTCCTAGCCCTTGCATGTGCCGGCAGGTGCTACAGCCCAGCCCTGCCTGGCATTTTCCCAATCCCAGCCCCAGCCTCAGCCCCCATGAACGTCAGGTGAGTCCATGTCAGGTGAGTTCTGTGATCTAGCCTGGATAGGTTAATCACCATGCCTAACTCTCTGTGTAATCCAGTGGGTGCTGCAGTCCCACATAGGTGAGCCCACAGTTCCCCTACAGAATCTGCCCTAGATCAAGTCCTCTCACATTCTGGTGGGTGCTGTGGTCCAGCCTGACATGGCCCACTCCCTGCTCCAACACTTATGGGAGGGTTCTGCCATATACTCCAGCCATGCAGGACCCCTTACCCCCAGCTTTTGTAAGCACCAGTGGGCAGTGGATGCTGCTGTTTAGTCCAGTCCAGGTCTCCCACATGGGTGTGTGCCTTGGCTTGACCCAGACATGCCCTCTGGTTTCCCCCCCTTTAAGCCACTGCATCCCAGCTCCCTATCTTACCTGTGAGTGCAGTGGCCCAGGCCATGGAAGACTCCAGAAAGAAGTACTTCTCTGTCAAAAAAAAAAAAAAAAAGCAACTATGCTGGTATACTGGTATAATTAACCCAAATTTAGCATTGACCAAGCTCAGAATACTTGCCATCTATTGGCTGATTTTCTCCCCGCACTGCAACACTTGCCTAGGTACAAAGCAACCTAGGCAGTTGTCTACAGCTGGGGATGAAGCAATTTTTTAATTATTATTTTACTTTTACTTTTGATGATCTTTATGTAGTTGATTAGTGTGGGAAGGGTCGAGGATTAGGGAAAAGTGGGTGAGGCTGTTGTTTACAAATTTTATTTTTCTTCTTTCTGCATCTGGGTAAATGGGGGAGAGAGTGGGAGAAGCCACACGCAGCCTCCCAACTGCCTCAGTACCCGGGGATGGGGAACAGCCACCCGATGTCATCCCAGGGTCCCCAGTGTGGAGCATGCTCAGAGGGTTCTGTTCAAGTGGTTTCAATTGTCCTGAAATACTGTTACTATCACCTATTAAAGGATGAGGAAATCCTTCCTAGGTCCAATGGCTGACATAGTCTACCTTAGAATCTCCATTCACCCAGATATTTGCTGTCAACATTTGACGGGGGTGGTTGACCAATTTGTCCCACCCTCCTTTCTCAGTTATGATACCTGATGTCCTCCGCAGGCTCCAGTGGCCTGCCATATCCTCCATGTGCATCTGGGTATGCCATACACTGTTACTTTTTTTTTTTTTTTTTAAGATTTATTATTTCTATTGTAAAGGCAGATATGTACACCAGAGGGAGCTGCAGCCTAGTTAGAGTCCCCACTAACCCTCACTAGGCCCGCCCCCACAGCTGTTCTTGTGCTTGCAAGTATGTGCAGCCGACCGGTCCAGTCTGTCCCACATCCCATTCAGCTCTCGCACACTTCAATGGCTGTTGAAGCCCAGTTCAACTCAACCTCACTGTTCAGTTCACACTCTAGCCTGGGGGTGTCACTGCCTGTCTAGCCAGACCTGCCCCCAGCCCTAGTGCTCGTGCTTACCAGTGGGAGTTGCAAAGCCACCAGAGGAGTACTCACATTTTCCCTACTGGGCCCACTCCCAGCCCCCGGACCTTGTACTCTTCAGGTGGTTCTGTTGTCTAACTTGACAGGGTTTGTCCCCTGTCCCAGCACTTGCCAGCTGATGCTGCAGCAAAGCCTAAGAAGCCTGCACTTACTCTGGCTCATGCCTTCACCAGTGGGTATGGTTGGTTAGCCCTGCCTGGCTCTCCCTCTAATGCAGTTGACATGCAGGCCAACAGGCATTGTAGCCCCTCCTGGCCTGCTCTGCCCCTTATCCCAGTTCTTAACACTCACCAGTGGAAGCAGTGGTCTTGCTGGGGAACATACGCAGCCCCCCATTGGGCTCATAACCCCCCACATCCATAGCAAAAGTACTAAACCTGTATATTTGGTATTGCAAATACACTTATGCCTGATCAAGCAATGGATTCACAGTGAAATCCACAGCTGTGCAAGCCTGGGAATGATTTACAAAAACTGTAAAATCATTAAAAAGTTGTTTCAAAATATGCACTTTTTGTGCCCAGCCTCATGGCCTAGCTGCTAAAATCCTGACCTTGAACACACCAGGAAGCCATATGGGCACCGGTTCTAATCCTAACAGCCCCACTTCCCATCCAGTTTCCAGCCCTGGAGGACGACCCAGGGCCTTGGGATCCTGCACTGCGTGAGAGACGCGGAAGAGTTCCTGGCTCCTGGCTTCGGATTGACTCAGCACTGGCCATTGCGGCCACTTGGGGAGTGATTCATTGGACAGATCTTCCTCTCTGTCTCTCCCCCATCTACATATGTATATATATCTGACTTTGCAGTAAAAAGAAATAAATCTTTTAAAAAGCTAATCTTAAAAAATATATATACTTCTTGCTGTAGACACCCACTGTACATACAACTATAAACTTTGTTCCCTCTAAACAAAAAAGGAAACATGTAAAAAGGAGACTCGAAAAGTCTGAACATTTTCTTCCCACCAGATACTAAAGTCAATGTCTTTCATCTAAGACATTATATTGAAAAGACTATTATATTTTTAAATTTATTTTATTTTCGAAAAGTTTAAAAAAGATTCATTTATTTTTATTCCAAAGTCAGATATACAGAGAGAAGGAGAGACAGAGGGGAAGATCTTCCATCCGATGATTCACTCCCCCAAGTGACCGCAACGGCCGGTGCTGCGCCCGTCCGAAGCCAGGAGCCAGGAACTTCCTCCAGGTCTCCCACACAGGTGCAGGGTCCCAAAGAGTTGGGCCGTCCTCGACTGCCTTCCCAGGCCACAAGCAGGGAGCTGGGTGGGAAGTGGAGCTGCTGGGATTAGAACCAGTGCCCATATGGGATCCCGGGGCGAGTTCAAGGTGAGGACTTAAGCCACTAGGGCCCAGGACTATTATATTTTCAGACAAGATTACTGTCACCATAGGTATTCTTTCTAAAAGTTAAAAGAAAGCTACATAGCTGTGTTAATTAGAGTGCTTATTTTATACAATAAAATAATAATGACCTTGAATTTCTTTCAAAAATTACAATAGGCTACAGTTATCGAAGATGCAAAGTTATCTGAGTAGTTTATACAGGAGCTTTTTGGACTTTCATTATGCTAAAATAGTGGTGTTTTAGGATTTGCGTGATCGTCCTCTCCAATACAAACAATGGGGCCTGTTACAGTATACAGTCCACTATTTTCATACATGTGCAACATTGGTGGAGGAAGCCTCTGGGTTTACCAGCTGCACACTGTAGGACTATTATGGAAGTAAAAATCTCTCCTGTGATACTGAAAGGTGATTAGAGTGTGCGAACTGATACAGTAGCTTTCATCTGCCTCTTCTAGGGTACCAGCATTGCAAAGTGCATTTAAGATGCTGGTAAGTTTAACAAAGTTGGAACGCTGGCACTGTTGAACTGGGCAACACTTTTTCATACCTGGTTCAGAGCTATAGCATATTTAGCTTATTAAAGAGCTGACTTGATGACTTTTTGCCGGCCTTTGCAGACATTGGGGTTTTTCTGCTAATTTGCCGCATTAGGTCATAAAAGATCTCATTAACATCTTTTTTTTTTTTGCAGAGGTTTTTTTTTTTAAGATTTATTTTATTTTTCATTACAAGGTCAGATATACAGAGAGGAGGAGAGACAGAGAGGAAGATCATCCATCCGATGATTCACTCCCCAAGTGGCCACAATGGCCGGTACTGCGCCAATCCGAAGCCAGGAGCCAGGAACTTCCTCCAGGTCTCCCACGTGGGTGCAGGGTCCCAAAGCACTGGGCCATCCTCGACTGCTTTCCCAGGCCACAGCTGGGCGCAGGATGGGAAGTGGAGCTGCTGGGATTAGAACCGGCACCCATGCGTGTTCCCAGCGCATTCAAGGACTGTGAACTGAGCAGTGATGGAATAAACCAATGCGAATCCTGGTCCATTCTTCATGTACAGATCCCTCATGGCTGTAAATTGTTCCGTTTCTGCAGTATGCAAGATTTCAAGCATCCACCGTTGTGCATCTGCTTCACATTGCTTTCTGTAAGAATCTTCTATCGTGCGATCATACTTTTCAACAAAAATTCCTTGAACGAACTGTTCAGTCAGAGCAGACTTTCCAATACCCCCTGAGCCAAGACTAGCCAGTTTATATTCACGCATGATGCAAACCTGTCAAGATGTAGCACCCTCTCACGCTGTCACTGGGTGCTGGCAGCCAGGGTCACGTGACGCCTCCTTGGGGTCACTGTTCTGGGCGTCCAGGTGGTCCTTTTGCTGCCGCTCCGGCTGAGTTACACGCCTGACTTTGGGCGAGGTTTCAAGGCGAGCAAATTTTTTTTTAAAGATTTATTTTTTTAATTTTTATTGGAAAGGCGGATATACAGAGAGAGACAGAGAGGAAGATCTTCCGTCCGATGACTCACTCCCCAAGTGAGCGCAATGGCTGATGCTATGCCAATCCAAAGCCAGGAGCCTCTTCCGGGTCTCCCACGCGGGTGCAGGGTCCCAAAGCTCTGGGCCATCCTCAACTGCTTTCCCAGGCCACAGGCAGGGAGCTGGATGGGAAGTAGGGCGCCGGGATTAGAACCGGCGCCCATATCTGATTGAGGGCGTTCAAGGCGAGGACCTTAACCACTGTGCGACAAGGCGAGCAACTTTTAAAAAGGCCCATGAGGTGACTAGCCATCTCTGAGCCTTTCTTAAAGACCTCTTCCTCTGGTTTTAGATTCTGTAGTGGCTCTGCTTTTTGTTTTCTATTGGGTCAGGCTGAAGTTCTGTGTCCTCAGATCCGCCCACCCTGCTGACAGGGAGGGGGAAGTGTGTAGGCTGACCTTCGCAGTCTATTTCCTCCTCTGCACATAGCAGCAGAGGCGTGTCTGCCAACCAGCAGCTGCTTGTCCGTTCCAGTTCACATCTTGTCTAGCATTGCTAAAATTGTGACTTTGTTCTCCACCTGAAATAGCGGTCTTTGGTTTCCATTCGACCCAAAGTCTTTCAATTCAGTCTAACTTTCATTTGTAGAGTTAGTTTGGAAAGAAACCCCCTCTTTTCGGTAGCAGAATTTGTGTACTATCCGTGTGATCATCTTCTTTACACATGTCATAGACTCTGTGTGGTCATCTAGGTGTAGGCTTGGTTTGTAAAAAAAATAGTTACACTATAAATCAATTATTGAATCTAGAGATTTTAAGCTATTTCTTCTCAGGTGACGCTTCATAGTTTGTGTCTGACAAAGTTTTAATAATTTTCACCATTAGTGAGGTCAAGTTTTTCATGCTTTTATTTGTCTTTTTTTTAAAAATAAGAGTTAGACTTTCTTTTATTTTTCTTTCCTTTTCTCCCTCCCTCCCCCTCCCCCCTCTCTTTCTCTCTTTTTCTTTCTTTCTTTCTTCCTTCCTTCCTTTCTTTCTTTCTTTCTTTCTTTCTTTCTTTCTTTCTTTCTTTCTTTCTTTCTTTCTTTCTGCCTTTCTTTCTTTCTGCCTTTCTTTCTTTCTGCCTTTCTTTCTTTCTGCCTTTCTTTCCATTCCTTCCATCCCTTCCATCCCTTCCTCTTTCTTTCCTTAGGAATCTTTATTTGAAACAATTACAGAGACAGAGGGAGAGACACATAGACTCACACACATAGAGCCAGCGAGCAAGAGAGAGAAAGAATGAATTAGCTCTTATGTGTTAATTCACTCCTCCAATGGAAACCTTGTCCACCATTGGCCCAGGCTGAAGCCAGGATCTTAGAATTCCATCTGGGTTTCCCATGTGGTTGACGAGAGCTCAGATACTTCAGCTGTCGTCTGCTGTCCCAGCTGCATAAACAGGAAACTGAATTGCAGGTGCAGCTGGGACTCTAACCAGCACACATAGGAGATGCCTGTATCTCAGGCAGCAGCTTCACCTGTTGTGCCACAGTGATGCCCCGAATCCAAGTCTGCTAGATGACAGAAAATAAGCAGGCACGTAAAATTTCTTTGTTCACATTAGAAAATATACTCAAGGGCCCGGCACCATGGCCTAGCGGTTAAAGTCCTCGCCTTGCATGTGCCGGGATCCCATGTGGGCACTGGTTCTAATCCTGGCAGTCCTGCTTCCTATTCAGCTCCCTGCTTGTGGCCTGGGAAAGCAGTCGAGGACGGCCCAAAGCCTTGGGACCCTGCACCCATGTGGGAGACCTGCCTGGAGGAAGTTCCTGGCTCCTGGCCTCAGTTCTGCGCAGTACCAGCTGTTGTGCTCACTTGGGGAGTAAATTGTTGGACAGAAGATCTTCCCCTCTGTCTCTCCTCTTCTTTGTATATCTGACTTTGTAACAACAATAATAATAATAATAATAAAATACACTCAAGTTTAAAATCTTGGCTTTTATACATTCTTGTATATTTGTTTTTTTTACAGTGAATGTGAGAGGCAGGAAGCTAGGGGAGAGGTTGAAATTGGTTTGTAGCCAGT